AAAAGTCATGGTATTCGCGCTCGTAATTTATTATTCAATAATTAATAATTAATTCTTAAGTAACGATATAGTTCATCAACTTCCATTCTATGTTAAAATCTACTACGACTTTTCCAACATTGTTGCTTCTACGCAAAATAATTTACTAGAACTCGCATATCAATCGATCCAAGAGGAAATAGTATTCTAATAGTGGATAAAAGGATTCGCACGAATTTTTTTTCTCGAGCTTTCGAACCAAGATCGAACGTATCGATTATGCATCCGTATCGAGGGATGCCTCAAAGATGGCAATGGAATCGAAACACCGCCATTTTTCCCCTCAACATTATCCCTTTCATTACCTTTAACCATCGTCCTCAAGTCCTTTAAAGATTGCTCGACGATCTCGGGCGTCTCGCGCAGCTCGTCCCTCGCCTTCTCCCTAAAATATTCGTCGCCCTCATCGAAATCTGCCTTCAGAATTAAATTGCCTATTTTTAGATAAGGCACATCCTTCCATCTCGAATCGACACGATTCGCATCCTGTCTTCCTTCTTCCTCCATCTTGCTTCGTATACGTATTCCCTCGGTAAAACAGGTTTTTATCTGTTGAGCATGCAAGAATAAAGAAGTTAGAATTTATCGAGGATGAATTATCTATTTCCTTCTTTTTCCTCGATGATCCCCTCAGAAGATTATTACTCGTTGCATTTGTCCACGATTCTTGCGCGTCTCGATAATGTTTTTTTAATGAAACGTACACCGATTACAATGTTTAAGAAGAGGTGATCTCAGTCTCGATATACCGAGACGAGATTGGATACAAACATTGTTCAGCTCGTTGCGCGTTTTTTTTTCAATTCGATCCTCGGATTTTTGAGCCGACAGGATATTGTTTTCAAGTGTTGTTGCCGCGTTGGATTCGTTGCGGCGAATTTGAAATCGAAAACTCGTTTTTTTCTTTTTCTCTTTTGGATTGGTGAATGAGTGGTATAAAAAGTATTTCCTGGTCGAGAATAATGCGTAAGGCAAATATAAATATTTGCGAAAATGAAAATAAACGCGCAGAACCTGTTCGAAACCTTGCCTCTTTGAAACTGTTTACGATATTTTTATCGTCCGTTATCTAATCCTGAAATTCTGATTCATCATTTACACGACTTGACGCGTGAATTAAACTTGAAACGATCTTGAGAAATATTACTTTGCACTTCAGTCAGAAAAAATATTGTCACTTAAATAATTTCGGTAGCGGTTCACGTTTCTCGATGATCGCGCGATAAATATATATTACCACAATATTTGCCCTCTTCTTCGTTCAATCTGTTTCTTCAATAAAACTAAAATACATTTTATCGAGTAAAGTACATTCAATCGTTTATATTTTATTATACGTGTGTATAAACTCATTCCGATCCACCGACAAGATAAGATAATTAAACATTCAAAACACGGTGTAGTAATAAATAATAATAATACTTTGTGGCGTAATATATTTCTCTGTTTCCTTTTTTTTTTTCTTCCTTGAAAGAAAATATTCAAATAAAACTGAACCGATGATGTTTAGACAATTACAATAAGAAAATTTATACGAGTTAAGTTAAATTTCTCGATATTCCATTTATCATATTTCATTATTCCATTCGTCCTTATTCTCGACGATTCGATAGCAATTGCGAGGGGGAGGAGGGAAGAAGGATGAAAAAAAAAAAGGATGGGAAAATTAATTCGCATACCTGACGAAAAACAACGAACTCGATCCCACACTAGAATTCAGAACCACTGAACAGGAACTGGCATCAAATAATTCTCACGAGACAATAAATTTTCTCCTCCCGATTGAATGGTTGAATCTCTCAGGATATCATTTCACGCGGTGTTCACGCGAGAGAAAAATCGCCAGATACGCGGATATCGAGGATCGAGGCTGAGGCTAAAAGGAGGGTACCGGCCTGGTTGAAGAGAAACAGGTTGAAGGATTCCGGATACCAACGTTGCCGAGACAACGTTGACTTGAAGACTGATTGAAGAAGCAGGTGGAGGACTAGCGACTCGGAAATCGGTTGGAAAGCGAAAGCGTTTCTCCCACTGTATCGTAGAATGTGACCGAGATCGTGAACGTGGCTAAGGACGCAGAGAATGTGGTTGTGGAATCTATGACAGAGGTTAGGTATGTTAGAGGTTAGGTATTCGTTTCGAAGCATTCATTTTAAATTGAAAACGATTGAATATGAAATCGTACTATGTTATCGCCGCTATGTAATTATAATAAATAATAATAATAAATGTTAAATCTTTTTAATCGCTAAACTAAGAAAAATGAAATCGATAATTCGATAATTGTGATTATAATTATTGTAAATATTGTATTACGATATCCGATTTATTTTATATATTTTTCTTATTGCGCACAATGATAAGTGGAAATTTTATTTAAAAAATTTTTATTTACAAAATTTAACCCGATTAAAAACAATGCGTTTTATCGTCTCTCATCTTTATTTATATTTTATTGTTTCTCTGTGTATACTTTAAATTCTAAATTTATTTTAAAGTTTAAGTATTTTAAATTTTTGATTAACCGTGAAGCATATAATATATGAAATATATTAATCGTGATTTCATTAAAATTGTTTTCTCTGTCATGTTTCTGATAAAAAAGAATTTCATTTGAATATAAAAATATATAAAATGATAAACAATTTTTATTCTTATTGAGAAATATTGGGTAAAAATTGAAGATCTTTAATACAGAAAATTGCATAACAGAAAAATTGCATAAACAGAAAATATTAAATTAATTCTATATGATGAGAAATAATATTTGATTCTTGAAATAATCAGGAAATGATGTGATTCTTATTTCGTATTATCATCATTTCAAGTAATTTTCTTTTCAATTCAATTTTTATTTAGTAATAAATTTAATTAATTAATCGTTTGATATCTAATTTCATGTAAACATATACATTATAAGATATAAGATAACTTTTGAAGAAGAGAGAACTAAGTTTTATATATATATGTACAATAATTATAATATCGATTATAATGTATTTTGTTGAACACACACTATATATATACGTATATATAAATGATTAAAAATATATATATAAAATATTATATATATATAAATGATTAAAAATAAGTGTAATAGGAAATCATTATTTATCAATTTTACTGTATCATGATCTGCGTTGAAAAAACTGAATTTTATTTATTGCCAGGATTAACCTTCTTATTAACTCTTGCATCTTTTGCATCAAAAAATATTTTACGAATCGATCACACTTACAATTATTATCTTTTTTAAAAAATTATTTTTCATACGTATCGTATAAAAAACAATGATTCTTCGTACAAAAATACACGTATAAACGCGTTAATAAATTTAGAAATAGAAGAAAAATCGGTATCGATATACGCTTAAACTATTTTGTACGACATCGTATTACGAACACAAAGAACGAAGAAATTTATTTCAATAAATTTTAAATTTGTTGAAATATCGTCGTCAATTTATTCATATTTGTCGAATCGTTCATTGTTGTTGAAATCCATACGTGTTCCACTCTGAAAAAAATTGAAGATAAAATTGGACAAAATTCGATCATTTATAAAAATTTTTATTCCAGATGAAAGTAAAAATATCATAAAAACGTACGTTTAATTTTATCTTCGTACTTTAACAAAACCGGATACCAATCGGCGCTAGTGTAATTGATTTTCGGCAATTCACCGCCATAATTCTCCGGCAAATACGTGGCTGGAATGTAATTGTGAAACGAAGACATCTTGCTACCGTGGAAGTACAACCTGTTCTTCAATTTTTCCCTGACGAGGGGCTTGATCATTTGCCACACCATGTTGAACAAGAGCGGTTGTTTCACTATGTGTATCTTTAATTATACATACGTATATCTTAATATTATACATTTATAATTGATTATAAAAATTAAGGCGGTAGTATCTCAAGTTCAATTTTCACAATTCGCAATCATCCTGTGATGAACGAGCTAGAACAAAGAATAAAATATTTTGAAATCCTTCGAAATCGCAAGATTCTCACCTCCTTCAAACGCAGGGGGATGGCATCTTGGATAAAATTCAGAAGCCTCATGCAAAAAGACGGCGTGATCCCCATCACTTGCTTCATGGTCATCCCTTCGAAGTCCATTATCACGACGCTTCCGTATATCTTTAAAAAAAGAATCGTTTTTTTTTTTCCTTTCGCAAGAGACAATAATATAATAATATAATAATTTAATAATTCAACAATATAATAATAATAAAATAATAAAATAAAGTTTGAAACACGAATCATTTTTTTTCTTTCTTTTCATTGAATTAATAAAGGAAAAACATAATTTTCTGGTTTCAGTTACAATTTGCAATTATTTTACGTAATCACGAATAGGTAAACAGCATTATAAATTATATAATTATAAATGTTGTTTACGTTACAAAACGCAAAGCCTCTCCGGTCGACGATTTTCATTGAAACACACCTGAGTTTCTGGTTCAAGCATGGCAAGCTGGTGAATCAAATAAAACAATCGAAACATCTGGTCGCTGTTGACAGCGGACGGATTCCAAGTTTTTCCGCAGTTAACTATGAGAATCCTTCTCCCTTTGTGATCTCTCTCTTTGATCACGTTTACCACGTTGTGCTTGGTGATCGACACTTCCTCGTCGTTTGGCATCAGATTGTTCAAAAGAGAAGAGTTCTTCTCCTTGAATTCTGCGATCCTCCTCATCAACTCGTACGCGCTCTTCGCGTAGAACTTGCATGGTCGCAGAAAGATTAGAAGAAACTCTTCGTCCGTTCTAAAGTAGAGTGTCTTGTCCTCTGAAAAAAAAAAAAATGAATAGATTAGTAAAATTATATTATATTTTATTCCTTTCTTCTTCTTCTTCTTCTTCTTTTTGCTTTCAATCCAAAATGGACGATATCTTCGATTATATACCGAGATTTCGTATCACATATGATGTACGTGATACGTAAATATACGTACGAATGCGAACAGAAATTTATAATTCGTGCTATAAGTGACTGAAAGTATTCTCTACGAAGATAAACTAATATTAATCTGATAAATAATAGTAACTGATAAATTATCGATATTGATGAATGATGTCACACGATACGTTCAATGTCATCTCGTTAAATTTGAATAATGGAATAAATTATAATAATGGAATAAATTATTTATTGACAACTTTTATAAATAATCACGAATAAAACAAAATTCCATATACTATAAATTTTGAAGAAATTTGATCTATGAAAAAATAAGAATCATCTTTTTTTCTTCATTCAAAAAAAAAAAAAAAGAGAAAAAAAATATTCAATAAAATTTATCATACTTGAAATTCATTAGTTGCCAACATTTATCGAAACTGTATATCATTAGAATAATTTTCATTTCATTCACCGATGAAAGATCGAATTGTCCTCGCGTGATAGCAGCCAACATCTCCCTCCGTAGGAAATTGTCTCGGTGTTCCTCGTTAAGGAAATTGCAACGATTCCGTTGCTGGAATCATGAAACGGGATAGAATATTGGATAACAGAGTCTTGAAATTTAAACGGGGAATCGAGGATGAAAATAATAAAAAAAAATTATTTTGCAAAATTCTAAACGAAATTTACTGAACGAAGATCGTGATTAGAATTATCTATCATCAATTATAATCGTATATATTTCTTTTTATATAGAAAAACGATATAATGTGTCAAAAAAGCTTCAAAATAGAGAATATTTTTTTCTTCGTCTCTCATTTGACTTTAGAATACTGAGATAAAGCCCTATCATACTTTGGCAAAAGAAATTTATCATTTATAATTTTCTAACGATTGTCATAGATTAAAAAACTATCAGAGAGATAATTCTATTAGTAAAATAACGTAATACTTTATATAATCGTGTTATATATTTTTTTTTATCGGATCTAAGGTATTATAAATTTAGGTAAAGGTATTATTAATTATTTCCCGGAAATAACTCTCTAATTTTATTCTCCATTATGATTTTCAAATAAAATTTTAAGTAGTCGAACATATATCTTCGTCATATCTTCCAATTTCATATCTTTCGAGAGATATCTAGAGAAAATTTTTTTACGATGAATAATTACGAATCTATATTTTCTATATTATTTTTAATTCGCTATTTATTTATATATAACATTGATATCACGAATTAATTATATGTTTAAAAAAAAAAAAAAAGATTCGGTTAAAATCAAACTGCCATTTCACAAGAAGGATTTGTAAATTGTAACGAAAAAAAGTTTTTGTGATTATACTTGTGACATTACATATGATAACGGAATCATCTTAATCACGATTCTACGCCAATGCAATTGGAAATTTATCTTATTGTTGATTATTGCCGATTCTTTAATCTTTTGTCAGCGTTCGATGGCCAAGGTTCGTGGCGTGGTTATCACCACGGATTTAAAATCGATCTTATCCGCGATTTTTGATCATTTTCATTCAAGTAGCACTGCAGGTTTTATTTACATTATTCGATGTTTTTTAGAAAATTATCGTTTAAACAAAATATTTAACGTCTTACTGTGTCCATAGCGATAAATTCTTATCTAAGAAACGAACGTGACCCCAAAGTTGACGTTCTTATGCACATGATATAAATTTCTATAGTTTCGAAAACCTTTTAGAACCTCGTTTACTTCTAAAAAATTCTAACACGAAATTCTGAATGAAAAAGTTTTCTTGAAATTAACAAATATTATTTTTTAATCTTTTTTTTTTCTTTTTTGCATAAATATCGATATGTTTTTCCAAAAAAAAACGAATAAAAGATTTTTGATTCATTTACATTATTTATTCATTTTTTTTACAATTTAAATGAAATTTAAAACAATATCATCCTTTGTATTGTAATCAATCGTTATAATTGTGAGAAAATATTTATGATGTATGTAAATGTGTGTAAATATGTATATATAAATTATATTATATATTATACTTATATTATTTAGATATGCTTCAAAATAAAAAGAAAAAAAAAAAATTCTAAAAGAAAGATAAATTTAACGATACAATAACAATATATATGAAATATATGAAATATTTTTATATTTGATTGAATTCTCTTGTTTGTTATTATATATGTATATATATAATATCATTTAGTGTACGCTTTAAAAATATAGATAATTTATCATCAATGCACGAGAGGAAGAAGAAAGATAATACAAAATGTTTGATTTGTTTTATTCAAAAGTACAAGACTACGAAACGACTCTCAAAACTTTTGTTAAAATTTTATTATATATATTTTTTAATATTATAATATATTTATATTATATATTATATATTATATTATATTAATATTATATATATATATATTTATATATTTTTTAATATATATAATTTATTTATATCAAATATATATTAAACATTTCCATAAATAAAAAAAGCATTGACGTCAAAAACACTTCGCTCCTTTACAAGGCAAATGAAAATCGCAGATTATCATTTAGATTATGAAATGACTTATTATCGATATATCATCGACGATATTTTTAATTTCGTATTATTGATACGAATTATATTCGATTTTCAAAAGAAATTATGATATACTTAGATATTTTACTCTTCAACAAATTTCCTTATATTTCGAGTGAATTAAAATTTTATTTTTACGTTAAACGTTCGAAGATTCGATCGATGAAAGTTTATAAACATTCGAAAAAGATTATAACAAAAACAAAAAGCATGTCAATAAATATTAAAAACATAAAAATCTTCTTAATTCTTTCCAACGACGCTACTTAAAATTTATTTTCTCCGACAAAGTTAGCAAAGAATTGAATTGAATTAAATCAAAAAATTACCAAAAAAAAAAAAAAAAAAAGAAAAAGAAAAGAAAACGAATCCCGAAAACTCACCCTCGAGATAGGTCTTCAACTTGGCGAGGCCTTCTTTCACGTTCTCCTCCGTCTCTCTGAGCTCTTTCTTGGCGACAGCCAATGCTTCCGGTCCCGGGAGTTTCAAATCCAAGTCAAACGGCATATTTTCCGACATCTTTCCTCACCTTTTTCCTATTTCGATCGATGATTGAACACGTTACGATCACGAAACGATCCTCATAGCAGGACGACCACAATATATCTGTGACCTAATATATCTCGCACGAGAAGAAGGAGGTCTTCTCTTGTCCACCATCTCGATCCAATCTTTGACCGCTCAAAGTCCAATCGTCACGTAGCTACGGCTCGATTTCATGACTGTTCTACCGGTCAATTTCATGCTGCTTATACTGTATATACTGGTGGAAGACAAGGCATGCAGTTATATGCGCCGCTTGATAAAGTCGTCAGCCAGAAACACGTAAATACATGCATCGACGAGTCATCAATTGATAAGGCGTAATCGAAAGGGGGAGGATCTCTCCGTCATCTTGTCGAATTGATCTCATCTTGATAAAGGGGGATAAAGGTAAAAGGCAGCGGTGTTCCCAAACGAGTTTATAAATTGAATAAAATATTGAATATGAAATAGAAGATGTATAGAAAATATCGATTGAAAATGAGACGAGAGTTTTTTTTTTTTTTTTTCATTTTCTAAATTGATCGCGTCATTCTAACCTGGATCGAGAATACAAATCTCAAGTAATTAAGATATTGAAATTGATGATGAGAAGAGATTTTTATTTAATTTTTCAAAAATTCATTGCACTGTGGAAAATAAGAAAGAGTAAGTATCAACTTGTCAAACTTTTCCCTCTTAAATATGAATTGTTGATTATATGGAAAATTTAGAAATATAATCTTGAAAAATTTTTTATTTTTGACTGAAAATTAATTGATAGATGCACAACGTGTTAATATAAATTTATATTTTATAAATGAAAATGTATATAATATTGTAATCTTGTTTGTTAGTTATACGATGAGTGCAAAATGTGTTTTTTGTACATGTGATTGCGTAAAATATTATGTACGTAGCTTTTTCTGAATTTGCAAGTTTCTGCACTTTTTTTCGTATTCTCGAGCAATTGATTTTTAATTTTTAATTACTCTCGATTTCGTCATTATGCCACATCGATACATTAATATTTTAAAGATAAGGGAAAATCTTAAAAGAAATAATCATAAAAAATGATTATTATTTATAAATTTAATTTTAAAATATAATAATCACTCAATATTCAAATAAATCAATCAAGAAAATTTATATTGAATTCTCATTAATAAGAAAATTTATACATCGAATAATAATTAGATTACAATTAGATTAAATTTATTTAATTACATTTCATGGATTATATATATCATATCAATTATATTTGATGACTTTGTTTTTAATTATAATGTTAAATATAAAAAAAAAAAAAATAATTGTATCTATTTAATATGCAACATAAATTTATAATTTTTTGAAAAATTCAATATCATTAATAAATAATATCTAATGATATTTTTAAATTATTAATCTCATCTTCAAATTATCTTGTATATTTTTAATAAACATCTATAATCAATTTCTTTCACATTTATATGAGTAAAATACAAGATGTGTAAAGATGTGTCATAAGTAGCTATTTAAATTAATTAAAAAATTAATTATCAATCAATTTCAATATATATTATATAATATTTGTCAATAAATTACTCGTCGATAGAATATTTACTTAAACAAACTCGCTTTCTCGACTATAGTCTTCTTTCGTGAATCATAAATCTCTGACTAACGATATGCTATGGATGAGATATATAATTAAAGTTCAATATATTATAATTATTCATCCAGATTTAGAAGATTCACAGTCATTTTTTTTAAATACATTACGATAACTATGTCATTGTACTACTCATAGAAAATAATAGCAAAGAAAATTAAATTATATGAAAAAATCACAATTAAAAATTAATCAAAATTAACAAAAACTTTTGAAAATAACATTTATATTTTAAAGCTTATTTACGATATACTTATGTTATGATAATATTATCTTAACATTATTCTTTTAGATGGATAATTATCGCATTTAGATCATTATAATCTTAACAATCGTAATATTTATAACTCGTCATTAATAATTATTTATAGAGAATTTATAATTTTACATTCTTAAATCTTTTTTTTTTTCGTGCCAGTTTAGAAATACGATATTTCTAAATTAAGAGAATAAATTGATATCGTTTAACTTTAATGTTTGAATAATAAAAAGATCTTTATCTGAGTATTTTATTACAATACTTAAATAACAAAAAGATTTTTAATCTAGATTTCTTTTTATCATGTTTAATTTAACAATAAATAGATATTATCCGTTTTTTTACAAAACATTTATAAATACATGTGATATATGTATGTTCAACAAATTTAAAACAAATAAATATAGAATATGTTCAAAATAAATTTCAATTATAAAAAATAGAAATTCATCTTCGAAATAATCTTAAAACATATCAGTTTCTTTCTAATATTTCCTATTTAAATTTAATTTTTTTAATTATTCCAAACAACATGTTCATGTAATATCATTATTGAATTAAATATTTTATCATTAATTAAATAATATTATTAATTCATTAAATTACAATATTGAAATGCAATATGTAAATGATTATAAAATTAAGATCCAATAATTAGGTGTCATATTGAATTTGCTGCATCTATATCTGCAATGCGCAGCAATGTAATCAAATATATGATTTCAATATGTGAAACAATTTTTCTTTTCGTATAATAAATTTCGTAATATAATCAAATCAATTGACTGTTTTAAATTAAAATTTCATATTTTTATTAATTAATTTTATTTTTTGATCAGATCGATATATAAAAGAAAATCATTGTTATAATTTAAAATTTGGAATTTTAAAATTATATGATAGAATTATATTTTATCAATTATAATTTATATTCATTGATAGAATAATGGAAAATTATTATACATACAAAAATTTAATGCTTTGAATCAGTTATGTTTATTTTCAAGCTAATTTTTTTTATCATGCACATTTTTAAAAGAGTGCGTCTTATCGATATTTTATCGACTATAACTACTTCTTCTAATTCTATTGTATAACCACAGATGGCAGTGCATATATTTATATATATATATATATATATTACATATACATGGTGAATTTTATATATATGTAATATTTTCAATGTATATGATTTTGTTAAACTTCATTAAGTCGCTTGCATGCGTCAGAAGAAAGAAGATAGCAACAACAAAGAAAAAGAAATAAAATCCTTCCTCCTCTGTGATATTTGTTTTTCCAGTGTGTTGCCGTGTTAGCGGCATGTATCTGCATTTGGCATTGGTCGTTTCTTCTGTTGGCGTCCAAGTCGATTAAAAGGTTACAATAGGGCGCCGTGGCCCGAATTTTATCAAGAACACAATGTCGGAAGATCAAGTAAATCCACCATCTCCAATCGATGGTATTTTACCGTTTTTGCAAAGTGTAAGTGCAACAATCACTTTTAATTTTACTACGCAAATTTCGATTTTTGTCCATGACTGGTATTTCTGGATATTTCCTTTAAACATACCTGAGTTGTTCGAAATGTTTCGTTCTATTTTTTCGTTTTCAACTTTCATTTTCAATATAACCGGTAAAAAATATCAAAACATTGACGTATATGTTAACTCATCATTGTTTCGTCATTGTACGTATTTATTTCATTATTCGATTGCATATAATATCTAAAAAAAATATCAGAAATAAATCGAATGATATTTAATTCACTTAAGATTTACTTTTTATATATAGCATAACATTGTTTATTTTAAATATGATTTCATTATTTTTGTATTTTATTTCTGAATATTTAATATTATTATGCGTGGTTTCAGACAACCGTGATATTGATACGTTTTCGCAATATATCAAGTACAAATGATTTATGATTTTACAAGATTATATTATGCAATATAATATATAAATTATATAGATAGATAATTTTAAAAATTAATATATATGAAATACTGCAAATTTATGTTTTGCTTTTTTAATAGCATTTGTGTCTTTGAATATACTATTCTCATTTTATTATGTAATATCAATTTAGAGAGAACATAGCTTCATTATTATTCATTTGCAAATAAATTGCAAATCATTACAGATTGAATGGAGAGATCCATGGCTTGCATTATTATTAACTTTTCACATTGCTGTTACTTTGACTGCATTGATGACACGAAACCATGCCAATTTTCAAATTATGTTATTTCTTGCACTATGTAAGTATATATCATATTGATTATTATATTATATTCTATATTAAATATAATCAATACAGAATAATTCATTTATTATTTATGATTATTTTAATAATATGTTTGTTGCAGTGCTTCTGGTATATTTTTCTGAAAGTATTAATGAAGTTGCTGCATCTAATTGGATGTAAGTATCTTAAAATTATAATAAATATAATATTTTTATAAATATATTCAGTTCAAGTAGTAAAATTTAAATAATAAATTTATAAAATTACAATAGGTTGTTCTCAAGACAGCAATATTTTGATTCCAATGGTCTCTTTATATCTGTAGTATTCTCTGTGCCTATCTTGATGAATTGTATGATCATGATTGTAAGTAGATATAAAATTTCAATAAGATTAATAATAAGATAAGTTGTAGTTTTAGAATTATTTATAATTTATTTGACTTTTTAGGCCAGTTGGCTTTATCAGTCTAGTCAATTAATGACCAGTTTGAAAAGAGCGCAATTAAGACAACAAGCAAGAAATCAGGAAATAGGAAATGAATCAATAAATACAAATGGCACTGCTGCAAGAGAAAAACAGGAGTAATATTTCTAGTCCAACAACAATGAGAAATGGAAAATACTCTATAAGTAGAGTCGTATATAACGGCATTGTAAAATTCGACGAATATTTTCAACATAGTATTTTTTTAAAACGTTACTGCCGACACTTGTTATCACTGTACTTCAAGTTAATTAATTTCACTGTCAGTTAACTATACTTCCAACTTTATGCCGTATATACATATATCGATAATTAGAATGTAAATTCAAAATCTCGAAAATAAGTTATTTATTTAATATCAATATTGTATTAAATTGCGAATCGGCACGCAATTTAATAATCACGAAGTATTACTGATTCTCGAGAGAATATTGTTATCTTATATTAAGGTACATTCCGATATTTCTCTATTTTTATTTTAGTGTTGAAATATTGATTATTAATTAATGTTCTTAAAACATCACCGATGTACTTACTACTGTAACACATATTGCTTGTTACGAAAAACTAAAAAACGGCATAATTAGATGATAATGGCTCTAATTGTATAAGTATGTATGTCTGTGTGAATGAATATAATTTTTTTCAGAACCGAGATCTTAAAAAATATTACAAATATATTATATGCAGTCATTCTTTGTGTTATATATTTATATAAATAAACAACTTCTTTCTGATGTAATATTTAATGTGTGAATAATTTTGAGTAATAAAATATTTCTTCGTATCATATATTTTTTTGTTTTATTTTTAATATTATATAAAATAATATTATATAAAAAAATTTTTATAGTAATAATAATTAAATAATTATTAATAAAATTATTTATAAATTTAAATTTTTATCTCTTTCTCTCTCTCTCTTTCTTCTCCGCTTCTCTGCATTATAAAATTATACGATTATGAATTACATAGCAAATAATAATTTTAATTTTAATTGCAAAAATTTATTTTCAAATAAATTCTTCTTTTGTTATACGTTTGCAAAATCTTCAAAATTTTGATCAAAACAAATAACAAAAGAAATTGTAAGGAAAAACGATATGATAATCTAAATCTGAAAAATTAAATTACATCTTAATCTAATTGTATATAACTTTATGTGAGATGTACATACATACGTTTTTTCATATGTATATTAACATTTTATATCTTCATTGAAACGTAATATTTTACGCTATGAAAATGTAAAATATTAATAATAAAATCTAAATGGGAAAAAAAATTTAATTAATAAGAGTTCTAAAAAATATTAAAAATACTTTTACATTGCAAACATCGATTCTATTACATGCACGTGATTAAAATAATTCTCTGTAAATAAAATTATGTTATTGAGGATAGGCAATGGCAATTTGTAAAAAAAAAAATAAGTAAAATATTTTTTAAAATATTTGTTCAGAAAAATACTGCTATTTTTTAAAAATTTTTTCCAATTAATCTTTAGTTAGTTTTTTTATTAATAAAAATAAAAAAATTAAATATAATAAAATGATTATGTCATGTATATATAACATAATAGTATATAATAGTATATATAAATGCTACATTTTATAAATTTTTACGATTTATATAAAATGAATAAGAAACGAATATGAAAATGATTATATATTTAAAGAAGAGTATTAATTTTATTTAATTTTTTCTAGCAATGAAATTTAGAAATCTGCGTATAAATATTTGTATAATCTTAAAATAAATTTTACATTATCAAATTTCCGTAAAATTGATTCGAAAAATCGTTATCCATGCTTTACATTTTTGTCATATGTTATCTTTACAGTAAACGAATAATTTGAAAAGAAAATTAAATAAATAAAATTTGTTATTAACAGAATTAAAATAACTGAATTTAAAATTCTATCTAAAATATTTGTTCAGAAATGAAATATAAACTACTATTAGAATCTAATAATCTAAGATAATTAAAAAAAAAAGTATAAAGAAATTCGATTAATTTCGTAATTAATATCCAATAAGTTATTAAGAAAAAAAAGCTGACATTAATCTATAAATTTAATGACAAATAGAAATATTAATATTTTAAAACAAAACTATAATATATATAAACTAGAACAAACCGATAGAATTGCAAACACGTCTTGTCACAACGATTTCTTACAGAAAAATGACGTCTCCCGCCAAAAGTTTATTTACTTGTTCTCTGATTGGTTGAAACGGTCCAGTTTTAAACCATTCAAAATAAATGATTTTCTAATTGGCTCAAACAATGTAGTTTTTTATTCATTCAAATTCGCGCGAAAAATTGAATTAATAACTGCATAATTGTATTTCTTATATTAAAGCTCTAAAAATATAAAACAATAAATTAAAATTACCAAAATTAATTTATATAAAATATAAAAATTAATCAAATTAAAGTATATTAGAATATAATACAAGAATTTTAAATAAAAATTAATTAGTCAAAAATAAATCTGGAATATTAATTAATATTGTAATATTGTACATAATTTAAATTGTAACGAACAGAAATTTTGTAATATTTCTATAATATTGCAATCGTATATTGTATTTATTAAACTAATTACATCGCGATTTGTGACATCAAAATAAAAAAAATCATTATAGAAGAAATCTAACCTTGTTTGATTTTGTTTGTAATAATGATAGAAAGAATAACCTATTTTGTACTTCTATACTGTATCTATACCTATGTATAAAAACGGTATAAATATTACAAAGAAATTAATTTTAATATTTATTAGTTTTTAAAAAATTGTGTATTTGTGTATTATAATATAATTTTCATTATAGAATATGATTTCACGAATGTGTATATTTTTATATTCAAAGCACTGTAATGTCAGTAAAATTTCGAATTTCATTTTTCGAAATGTTTCTAAAACTTCCAAATTATTTAATTGTTCTACGGTAGATATAGTTAAAAATAAAATATCAAATATTGATATTAAAAAGCGTAACGATAATATTAATAATATGGATTCTGAGAAGATAAATGCTACAGTTACTACTATGGAAAATAATAAAAATATTGAAAATAATAATACAAAAATAAATAATGAATTAGAACAATCACATAATATTAAATTTTTAAATACAAATGATTATAATTTAAATGATAGTTTGGAAGATATAAATGAAAAATTACCAGGACCATTTGATCATTGCAATGAAGATTTGTCTCACATTGAACCTTATATAACACCAACTTATAATTTTGCAAAATTCGCAGATCAATCAAATACAATTCAGCAATTAGTCAAATTAGGAGTTGAATTATATAAAATAGAAAGAGACAAAGAAGTACTAGAAATGTTTTTAAGTTTAGATTTTGACAAGAATATAAAACCATATATACAATTTTTACACGATTGTGGTGTAACTCCAGAAAATCTTGGATACTTTATTACTAGAAATCCTAAGATCTTTAAAGAAGATATAGATGATCTTTGTACAAGAATAAGATATTTAAGATATCATAATTTTTCTGTAAAAATGATAGAAAGGATAGTGAATAAACATCCTCCTTGGCTATCTTTTAAAGCACAAGAAATAGACAAAAGATTAGGATATTTTCAACATGCTTTTAAATTAAATGGTCATCAAATAAGAATCTTAAGTGTAAAATGTCCAAAACTTATAACATATGATATGAAGCGTATAAAAAAAAGTACATTTGCAGTAAAAGAGGAAATGGGTTTTAATATATATGAAACAAAGGATATTTTACTTAAAGCACCACGTGTATGGATTCGTGGTAATTAAAATATGAATATAATTATTAAATATTGATATAATATTTGTTAAATTGTTTAAATATAAAAAATTTTTTGCTTTTATTTTAGCCAAGACAGAAATAGTAAAAACTTTTGATTATCTGCATAATGAAATGGGATTATCACATACTTTTATTTGTACAGAACCAAAAATTTTAATTTGTAGGAAAAGTAGACTTGAAAGAAGGCATAAAGTTTTAGTAGAATTAAAAAGAAATCAATATGATCCTACAAAACCTTTGTATGTATCATTATTTGATTTAATTTCAGGTACCGATATTGATTTTTGTGAAAAAATTGCAAAAATTCCCATTAAAATTTACAATGATTTTTTAAAGTCTTTTTAATATAACTAAAATAAATATAATTATTTAATCATAAACATATATATATATTTTTTTTTATAGCAATGTAATCTTTATTGTATATATTGTACTTAAATATTAGATATTTTTATACATTTCTAGAAACCTTTATGTACAATTTCATATATCTTACACATCAGTATTTAATTTGTTGTACCAATATTATTTAAGACAATATAAAAAACTTGTAAAACTTATAATATCATTATATCAGTAGTTTTTCCTTTTCATTTTTTAATAATATATTCGATAAAAGATCAAATTATTTGATCTTACTATTTTATATAATTTAAATTATTATTCATCGTACAAAATATCTTCAAATATTCTATAATATTTTTCAAATCTATAAATTGATTTGAATTTTAGTTATATTTTCCTAATTCTATTTTTTTTTGTATTGCTCTGAGTGAATGATATAATAATGAATCTATCAATCCAGCAACTGTAAATACACCACCGATAATCGCACAAGCATTCGTTGCAAAATGACCGAATGATTTTGCTTTTTCTGTATATTTTACCATTAATGGACTTAATTCATAATTAAAAAATATTCCTGGCATTCCTGATTCTCCACTAAATAAAGAAACTTGTCTAGCATGTCGAGTTACAGAAAATTGATTTGTTAATAATGTAGAGCCATCAGCGCGAACATAGGTTGTAGGTACAATCTTGATATAATGATAAAACATCATCGCACCTGAAACAAAAACAATGAAATATCTATATAGGATTTTTAATTATAATGACAAATATATTTTTAAAATCTAATAATTTCATAGTTTAAAATTCAAAGTAAAAGAACATTTTATAAAAAACTATTTGATCGAAATATTTATATATTAATTAAATAATCCACTATTGAAATCATACAAAACGGAAATAGGAAAAGTAGCCATTTTATATCAAGAAACTAACATGGCACCTTCCTTATACTATCCGAACGAATTGTGTTAAGGATTTACAAGTTGTAAAACACGAAAAATCATTAAAAAAAAAACGCATTACATATTCATTATAAGTTCTAAAACCAAATATTTAAATTGTGAGTGATGTTAATTATATCGAGCATCTATAAATTTCTCTAAGTGCAAAATAAATAAAATTTATTCGAATTATGTTAGGGACAATTAATTTATAATGTGTTAAAGATAATTTAGAAATTTTGTGTTGAATAAAAGTTAATTATATATAAAATTCATTAAAAGAGAATCATAATTCATATTTGTGAGGCATTTTTATAAGAAATAAGGTTAAATGTTTTTATATAAATTATATTCGTAGAAAATGCCGGCCGTACCAGGCATGTATCAACAAGCTCCTTCATGCTGGGATAGGGTAAAACTTGGTTTTATGATTGGATTTTGTGTTGGAATGGCATCTGGTGTTCTATTTGGGGGATATTCTATTGTTAGGTGGATATTCATTTATTGTGACTAAATATTAATAATGATTTGGAAAGTATAGCTAATGATATATTTATTATCAGATATGGATTAAGAGGAAGGGAATTGATAAACAACGTTGGAAAAGCAATGCTTCAAGGTGGTGGAACATTTGGAACATTCATGGCCATTGGAAGTGGAATAAGATGCTAGTACTTGAAGAATGTTACGTTTGACATTTAGGATACAAAAAATTGTAGTCAGAATATTCTATTAATTTCTCAATAAAATATTTCTACGAAGCAAGGGCATACCTTCCATTGCAACTACAGTGGTATCATCCATAGGATTTGTTTTTCCTGGAATATTTAATCCAAAACTTAAGTGACGAATCTTGTGAGTCATATTAAATTGTGTTGATGTGTATGGTTGGACATCATGTACTGTAAGCAAAATGAAAAATATCATAATATTACATAATTTAATTTATGTTGGCAATAGTAATATATTTTTTTACCATGTACATGATTTACAGAGAAGCTATCTCCTGGTGCAATATGAAAACTTCCACCTACTCTATTTACTTCCATATAACCATAAATTTGACATCCTTGAATAAAAGCAGTTTTCATTTTTTCCACCGATTTATCATTTTGACATTGTTTTATATTTCCTAGTACAGGAGGTGCCCAATTCTTAAGTCTATAAGCTTCTCTTACATCTTCACAAGTGTTACAACACCTACAAAAATAATTTAATTATATAAAAACTTTTCATAAATTATATGTAAATTTTTGTGCGTTATTATACTTGATAATTTCACTAGCAGCACCATAGCAATCTCCACATATTTTCTCTGTAGTACTTTCTAATGTCTATAAAAAAATTATTAAATTTTAATAGCATTAACAAAATTATATTATAACAATTAACAAAATTATATTTATTATTATATTATAACAGATATGTAATAATGATAAATAATTCAATACCTTTGCTGTTGTTTTAAGTGCTTTTGTGTCAGTAATATCTATATTAAAATAAATAAAAAATTAATTAGTTTTATATTATTTATTATAAATATTTATCTTTTATATTATTGTCATTCTATTATCACCTGTTCTTTGTGGATCTTCTATAGGTTTTCCATTTAAATCTAAACGCCTTTTAAATATATTATGTTCTATTTGTAAATGTTGTTCACCTGTTGTGTCCATTGCATCTATAGATAAAACTGTAATATATTTAATATATTTATTAATATTATTATATATTTGTGTATATAAGATATATATATATATACACTTACGATCACAAGATATTGTAGGTACAATTATATCTAAGTTAATTCTTAATTTTGAACCTCTTGAAGTATCTACAAATAATTCTTCACTCAATGTTGGAGTGAGATAATAATTCACTTCAGATAGAAACAAAATACCCATAATAATTGTACTAATGATTGTCACTGGAAAACAATTGTACACAAAAAATAAATGTAGGTTATAAACTTTATTTATGCTGGATAACAAATATAAACAATAATTATGATGTAATAAAAACTTTTACCAAATACAATATTGAAAACTTAAAACATAATTATAATCAATTATATTTTATATAAGATATAGATAAGATAAGATAAGCAGTATTTAATTTAAGAAATAAGAAAGTAATTCTAAATTTGTTAAATATTGTTCCCAGTTGAGGTTAACAACATCTCTTTATCATATTATATTTAAAATTACATGCAACGATTCAAAAATTTTCTAGTAATTCTAGTAACTCTGACAATCAAAGAAAATCAACATAATTCATTAAATAATTTATTGCAAGCTAATAAAATTGACAAGCGATACTTGTCTAAGATTTGACAAGTAAAAAACGCTTTACCAACGGCACCACTGAAAGTTCGCACAAGAATATCCGCTTCTTCGCGCACTTTTGGGTGCACATCTAATTGTCGTAGTATTTGCATGTTCAGTTAATACAATAAATTTGTCAACACGGCTAACACCGTGCTCGAACTACACTCGGCTAACTTTTCCCGCAATACAATTATGACAACGCAACAGTCAGGAAACGTGGCAGATAATAAAATGTGATTGGCTATTCCTAATGCATCAATGCATCCATTAACCAATCATCTTTTCAAGTCATTTGTACGTTTATTTGAAATTATATAGACTATTTTACTAAAAAGTAATCCTTTTTTTGCAGATTATTACTCAAAAATTCTATAATTTTGAATAAATGATTATTCAAGTTCAAGTTCACTTCTGAGAACTGAAGTAATAAATGCATTATAAATGCATTTTTTTAACAGATATTCCAAATTGTTTTAACAAATGTAAGTAAAAATTCTAGAAATATGAAAGTAATTAAATATAAAATAACCTCTTCAAGTACTATGTTTATTTCGTATACATAAAATTAAAATTTTTATTTTGCAATTCGTAGAGTAGAAACTGAAACAACAAATATAAGATCAAAATATCATAATTTATAATTCCAGATAAATAAGGATAATGGAAATGACGATAGTGAAGGTAATAATAATTCAAATTCGTAACAAACGCTCGATAAATTTTATTTTTCCATGTATCACGTGACATGATCGGAATTATCCAACTAAATAATATACAGCAATTTGCAATGGTTGTGTTTTCGTGTGCATATGAGTTAGAATATTAGAAAAAACGTATTATTAAATGTCTTATGTAAAACTCTCGAGTATAAGAGAATATCTCGACATAGTAGGTCTTCGCCGCAAGCCAATTAAAAGGTTGCGCTATTAAGGCACTCTATGCCAGGAATATGTTTAAGGTGCACGAACGGTACAAACAGGATCCATGAAATATATAATATATAATATGTTTTATATATAGATATCTCTATAAAAGAAATGAAAATACATCATGTATGACAAATGGTAAATAAATGTACGTACATATACAGATTTGTGATTTAAGAGAAATTAAAACTAGATATATCCTAAAAAATAATTGGACGGCGGTCTAATGTATATTTTAATAGTGATTCATTTTTAATTAATTATTCTGAATGACGAAGGGGAATGTATGCGAAAATTTTTAAAACTACTATAGTAAATTAACAATAATGTTAACAAAATTTACATCAATTTTCTGTAATTTTTCTATTATTTTCTTGTCTCTTTTAACAATATGTATTTCTAGAATATTTTATTTATATATAAAAATCTTTTACAAAATTTAAAAGATAAAAGGGTCGTTAAATTTAAAACGAAATAACGTAAATGCTCTACGATTGTACTTGTTAGAAACGGCGTCATCGATATTATCTCTCATTGACTTTCATAGTCTGATTTCACTATTCGTAGTAGCACAGTGGGCGTATTTGAAGCTTTTTGTTTTCATTTCAATAAAAGAATTCTTTGCTCGTTTGAAAAACCTTGGATACCATATTTTTCTTTATTCGAGTCGAGTGCCTTATTCGCTTAAAAATATCTATACATTCGATCTAGACAATATACACAACACATTAAAATTCTGTATACACATAGTACGATCATAAAATTGTCCCATTGCACAATGCTATAAATATAATCGTAATAACAATGCACTCGACATCGAACTTGATAAGGTATTAAAGGTTGCATTATCACGTATTTCACAATATAATAATTCATTTATTCACTCGAAATATCGAGTTTTAGTCAAATTTTCTGAAACTATTTGTTTTCTTAGATAGTCTAAATGATATTTAATATATCCAATTGACCGGAACCCATTGATGTTCAGTTGCTAAAGCATCTAACGCGACGATCACTTGTCTAAATGTATTGTCGAAATCTTCATTCACAATCACCAGATCAATATATTTTTCGTAAGCACGCTGCAAGGCCGCAGATTCTTCCAACGTAGCCTTCAAATCATCTTCCTGAATCAATAAGAAATAAATTTAATTTAATTTTGAAAAGTTTGAGGTACGTATAATCAATGTGTATCTATTGATTATGATTTCTCTTTGAATATTATATTGAATATTATATGATTTTGTACAGTGGTAAATTTTTAGCAGTTACTATATATCTACAAGCAATTACACTACATTAAAAAAATGAAGAAAAAAATGAATTTGCATGCAGTACAAACCTCGTACAACGAAGCAAGGGATTCCAATGTTCTGGCTCTTCTCGAACTGTATCTGATGGAACTCTGGCGGTCAAACTAGCAAAGCCAACATCAAATACATACAAAAGATTAAATAAAGAATGCTACATAGATTTGAGAAGAATGGGAATTGTACGATGGGAAATATGTAAAAATATTCAATATAAATCTAAATGGAATAGGAAACATAATATTTAAAAATGAGTTTTATGCAAAATGAATTTTATAGGAGAAATAAATTGTTTTAATCGAACGAAAGTGCATGCGATACATGTACAATAGGCAAATTACACGTATTTACACGACGACGGCAAACAGACTGGCAGGCAGAAATTTGAAAAATTGTATCGTAAAATATTTGATAATTATGTTTATTTGAAACGATTTGTGCCGTCGATATGTTTCTTTTTTATACAAATTTCATCTATCAAATTATTCTTTTACAAACTTCTCCTTTTTATATTTTTCATATAAAAATTGGAAAATATTTTAAAGAATTATATAAATTTATATAAATGTTTTTTCATTAAATCTACAATAAGATGAATAATTAAGTAGCATTTGTAAATAATATTTCATAAACATAGATTTTTTTGATTTTTAATATTGATCATATCCGAAACAAATTTATAATTTTTATTATTATTATTAGAAAAAAAGAAAGGAAAAAAAATATATCTGTTATATAATTACCGTCAAATTTCGACTACTCGTTCCAGTCGATCTTTGTAAATCGTACAGCCATTTCAATTGTTCCATTCCTGGCGCTGCTATGAAGATGACATAAGGCATGAACTCGGTGCTGTTATGAAGTATTTTCAAAGCTGCTGGACTACAATCCAAAACACACATTTTCCCTGCTCTAATTAATTCTCGCACAGAATCCAATTTTGTACCATACAAATGGCCACCATGTTCTCCGTATTCGAGATACCGATGCTCTCTGATGTCTGTTTCCATCGATTCGCGATCGATAAACCAATAGCTTTTGCCATCCTCTTCGAGTACTCTGGGTGGTCGTGATGTATCTAAAATGATATCAGTGAGTAAATATTACAGTTCTAATACTTAAGAGCGAAGCTTTTTATATTATTTTATTAGCTAATTTGATTACAATTGAATAAATTATTATATAGTGTAATAAATTCGTCAACTTTGTGTATCATTTTAGACAAGATTTTACCATCATATAAATAATTATGATATTTACACGGAACAATGGTACCAAACTTCTCAGAATCACTATTTATCAGCCTATTCTTCAATGTCCTACGACCAACACCTCTCGCACCGACTAAAGCCAAGGTTTTACGTCTGAAAGGTGGCATCCTGGCTACTTCTTCATATAACAAAAGTTCTGCACTATCAAATTCACCGTTAGACTTCGATTGATACATCTTTCTTTTCTTCTTTTTAGAAATCTTGGTCCCACAAATGCTAATTTTGTGTACAAAGTCAGCTTCCGGTGGAACAAACGCTTTCCTTCGTTCTTCCAGTTCCAAAGATGGGATTAGCCCAGGTGGACCTAAACCTTCACCTTCCACTCTTCGAGCTTGCCACCAATTTGGATCCGCCTGATCCACGATTTGTAGTACATCGCCTTTTTGGAACGGAAGTCCAATCTCCCTACATGGTAACAGAGTATCTTCTGATGGATCGTAGTCGAAGAGCGCTCTCATGTAACACTGTAATGGAAAATAGGTATTTTTCATATGAATGAATTTTATTTTATTAATTTTGCTATGTTTGTTTCTAGACTAAAGTTTCATTAATTTTTTATATTTTTTGAAAAATTTTTTCATTCATATTGCATTCTTATTTTTAAAGTCTAAGTTTTTGTAAATTTAAATTGTTTCATGATTTTTATTTTTAAAGTGAAATTTTTATAATTTTAATTTTTTAATTTTTTTCAATTCGCTTGTATATCTTATTTGATAAATATCATCAATATTAATTCTATTTTACAAGTTTTACAAAAAACGATCACGAGACACATGCTATTACACTTTAGTTTTCAACAATTATTTTTATATTTAGAATATAATTTTAATAGAAGGTTGACTATATCTATTGTCTAAATTTTATAAGCAAAACAGTAAAATCTATAGTTTAAAACCAGTAATGTAATAAAATTGTTCATTGAAACCATATGTTCCATATGGATGTCATTAAAATGAATGTAAAGGCTTCAAGAGGATTAAACATATTTTTGAATATTGTTGTACTACACAAACATTTTCAAATACATTTTAAATTTAAATTTATTCAATAAATATTCAAGAAATAATAAAAGTTCCTTATTAATTTATATATCAAAAATTACCCTTCTCTTACCGTAGATTTTACAGGTCGATTGCCATCGGTGGCGATACCAGGCGCCAGCTTCAGCGACAAATTCTCCTTTGCCTCGTGAATGGCTTCCTGAAGCTCCTCAGGGTTGTGAACTTCCTTTCCATTTACTTCGAGAATCACCTCACCGGTTCTAAGAAGTCCTTGGCGGGCGGCCGTGCTTCCGCCCAGGATCCTGGCGATGATCAAGTTGCCAGATTCGTTGACTTGCACTGTTAGGCCCTGTGCAAAAACGGACCAGTGAAAATAAACTTCATTTCCGTTGAACATGACCAGGTTTGCCATTTAATACATTTAGACAACAATTGGTGATTCTGTGTCTAATTCATTTTTGTTAGTAGATTCTCACAATTTACCTTGTTTACGAAGTCTTAATGTTTCTATTTGAATATAAACGAACCTGATGGAACAGAATATTCACGATCATAGTTCTTGCACTTTTGTTTGTCGAAAATACATTTGGCGAAGAATGTTATGAGATGCGTTTCAAAAGTAACTTGGGATGCAAGATACTGGACGAGGAAATATAATTCTTTTGAATTTCGAATTTCGAATTTAATATATCCAAAAAAATGAATAATCAATTTCTTTCGAACGAAAAATTTATTATTCTCCTGTTAAAATATTTGATATAAAGTTATATTGATATTGATACAAAGTTTGAAACTTTAGCCTGTGGTTTGAAAAAATATATTAGATCCATCATCGTAAAAGCCACGTGGTCTCGAATCATTGCATGGATAATAAACGTTCCGAATTATTTATGAATCGCGAGTGGCATTTCCGTCTTTTCTTCGTGCAAACGTGTTAAATCCGATTCGGAATGGAATATCAAATCTTCTCACGTGATGGAATAGTAAACTTCTAAAACTAGAATCCACGATTGAGAAAGTTGGCGCGGACAGTTGTATACTTCTTTGTTGATCGTTCGAGATGTGTTCTCTCGTCAGCCACACTTTCTTCGTCGTCGGCGGAACGAATCGATGAGCGCAGAAATTAACCATCCTCCAATATTCTCAACTTTTGGGGGATCCAATTAAGAAATTTACAAACCAAAATGGTTTGAAAAAATTTTGAAAATATTTTTCCTTGTATTATCTTATCTTTGTTGAATATTCTGTACCGTATGACATCTTCAAAATATTTTCAAAAAATTCTAAATTAATATGAATTCTCACCAGGGGTTCATCGGGCTGCCTTCTCAGGCCGACGACTCTGACGGCTTCCATCCTCTCGTTAGTGGGCATCGTCAGTAACGACGGTTCCGGCTTCGATGGTGGCGCTTCCTTCCTCTCGACGACCGCGTCGTGGGTCTCCAGGAGCGCTTTCAGATGCGAGCTCCTCAACAATCGCACGAGTTCCCGCGCGTTCTCGTCCCTCGAGGAACGGAGCGCGTGACACACCTCGTCGACGATGTCACAAACGGACGAGCATACCGGTTCCACGTGGAGTGGAGGATCCTCCAGACGCTCTTGGACCTGCAACAGTCACGACAGTCGAGTTAAACTTTCGTGGGAACTGGTTTTCGTTCCGGCCCTCTTCGACTAACGAGACTTTTTCTTAGTTCTCAAAATCCTCAGATAAGATTCTCACTTTGGAAAGTTTATCTGCCGGATTATTTGGTATTTTTAATTGTTGGATTCGAAGCCTTCTTTCGAACAAAGTGGAAATATAAAAATTTTATCAGTGATCGCAATAATTAGGTAATTGCATATTATTTTTATTACTAATGTTTTTGCAAATGTTTATCGAATGGGTCGATTTTCATTGAAGAAATAAGTCGAGCTGCTCGTCTCGATCTCCTTTCTGGGCTACGTGTATACACAACCAAAGCCACAAACAGTGAACGGCTTAGCCAGTTGTGAAAGTCGAAACGGGTTTCCGCATTAAATTCACCGTACGAGGAACCTTGATTGCTCTTCGTCCCTCTCGTTTAACTCGAGAGAAATGAAAGTTCTCAGACTACTTTTGACTCAACGATCAAATGTTTCTCAAATTTAATTATTTTCATGATGCTAAAGATATTTTTCTTTTTTTCTTTCCCTCTTATCACTAAACTAAAATTTTTGTCGCGCTAATTTTTCCTCTCTCCTTTTCATTTCATAACTCGATAAAAATTATGAGAATTTTCTGCCAATCGTTCAAAAGTGAAATTATTATTGCGCAACCGACGACCCGGCGTCAACGAGGTTTGATTGGATTAGTGTCGACTACGTAAGGCTGGTGTACTCCACATCGAACCAGCCAATGCAACGATACAACAATGAAAGAGTAATTACGAAAGTAGGTCGGTGTTTCAGAACCACCTTCGAGAATGCTTGATACCTGAACACCGCGACGGTGTAACGACGCCAGCCAAAGAAAATAATCACCTTTCTGTATAATTTTTTTCTTTCCTTCGATACATAGAAAATCACGTAAAAATCATAACATATACCATTTTATCAATGCCAATCGAAATTATCATAACGAATGATAAAGAACTATGAATGCATATATAATAAGACGCTACGAATAAAACGTTTATTAATAGACTCAACGTATTATTACGGATAAAAGACTTATTAATAATCTTTTTTAATACCAATGCTTATCGACTCACAGGCTATTAATCAATTTTGTTAGTGAACGATAATCTCAAAGTTATAATATCAATAATGACATTTTAATGAAAAATACGAATATTTAATGACAGTCTAATTAACTTGAATATTAAAGTAAGTAAATGTTAGCTAAAACATTTCACTGTAAGAAACTAATATCCCACAATTTTTCAATTACAGTTTTTCTATCAATCTTTTTCCCAATTAAACGTTGTGAAACTAATCGAATAATATTTTCTTACAGAGTTTGATACAAATGGAAATTACTTGGCGAAACTGTCGAAGTGGCTTGTTATCCACGGCCACGATGATTCATCGCCGAATCATTCGCGTCGATACATGTGCATCGCAGATGCACGCCACTTTTCTTTCCACGATTCGGTTCCAGCATCGAGGATATGAATCACGACACGACGCAGGTTGTGAAAAAATTGCGCTTCCCCATAAAACTTGTATACCGAAAAGATCTTCGACTTTTTGATCTCTCGACCCACGCGACTACATGATATAAATCAACTTGGAAAATCAAAGAACACGAATCGAGTTCTATTTTCTTTGAGACTTGGGAAAATAGATTATGATTTACGAGGACGAGTGTGATTTCGATCGTTCCATTAACGTTTGTTAATAACCATCTTATGAATTATTAACTCAAATTTTGATCTTCTGTTTGAATAATCTATTTTTTTTATTTTCAAATTAGTGCAAATTATTTTTCGACCGATGAAGAGAAGAGAATTAATGGAAGAAAAAATTGGCTGTAAAAATTAATCAAAATTCGACGTCGAAGGTATTTATCCATATGTTGCAAAATTGTCATTATCGTACACATGAATTATATCGCATTTATCATGGAAATGATGATAGAACAGCTGGCATTCAACAAACGTTGCAACCTATAATGAATTCTTCTGTTCTTCCGTGACGTCCCTGAAAAAAACCTCTCACGAAACAAACATCAGGATTGATGAATAGCAAGTCCCTTGTTACGTGTATCGATAATTTAAATTGTTTATTATTTATTATTTATTATTACCACGATTCGAATGACTGCCCATTTCCTAACTATTTTTCTCGGCTCCGTTATACTTCAATACTTTTGGGGAAAAAAAATCAAATCACTTGTTTCTTCTTTAAAACAACAAATCATGAAACCTAGAGCGTCGTTACTACGATTATTACTATACGATTTCCAAGAAAGCGCTCAACTATTATTCACTCGTTCCCACGAAAAAAAAAAAAAAAGAAAAACACGTCACAAATAGAACAATTCATCCTCGACACAATTAAAAGACAAGACTTCGTCTTTCCTTCGATTGCTTTGAAAATTTCACGTTTCGATCACAGATCGCGTCTACGAGATCCAGCCGCCCAATCTCGAGATCCACTGATCACACGACGCCAAGAGGGGCCAACGGTCAACAAATCCCGCTTTCTCTCGATCTCACGTGTCGCTGTAGCGATAACAGTCCTACGACGCGATCTCAAATCGATCCGCCAAATCCAGTTTTCTGTCCCAAAACTCGTCCGAAACTCGCCACCAGCGAGACCAGAATTCCTCTATATATCGAATATATCGAAAAGAAATCACGACTTACACACGAAACGCGAAGAAACGCCGAGGCAGAGGTCGCCTGTCTCCCAGCTAGGACGCTTCTGTTTGGAGAACCGATTGGCCTCTCTCCTGGAACTGGAGTACGCCGTATCGATCGGCCAGGGACGTGAGGGTTCCACTCGGCCGGAGACTATTTCACGGGGGGAAACTGATGAAGGGTTTCCACGAGGATAAACCAAGGCTTGGATGACACGCACACCGTGTGTGTTGCTTAGGTAAGCGGCGTCAGAAAACTGCCGCGCCTACTGACGTTTCTTTCGCCCCCACCTTCGAGCCAGCTCGTTCAGGCTGCCCGTCTGAAACAG